CACACAGCAGTACACCCACACACAGCAGTACACCCACACACCCACACATAGCCGCACACCCACACACAGCCACACACCCACACATAGCCGCACACACAGCCACACACCCACACACACAGCCACACACCCACACACAGCAGCACACTTACAATCACATAAACACATCCGCACCCATACACATACATCCATTTTTTTACTTCCTTTTTTCCCTTCTGATACATTTCAATTTTTCCGTTTCAAAAATCTAAAATCGACATGTAAAATACATGCAAAAAAAAAGGACATCCATAATATTTGTGCCATTCATCATTGCATGAAAAAAGAAAGTGACAATGTATTTGACACAATCATCGAGCAAAGTTTATGTCAATATTTATTGAACAATGAAAAGATGAGGCTGGCATCTTCCAAATGATTGACCGATTATGACACTGAAAATTGCGTTTTTTTGAAACAGAAAATTTCCTTTTTGAAATGGAAAATTGCGTACCTTTTTTGAAATAGACAATTGCGTCACTTTTTGAAATTAAAAAAAGAAAATTTTTGACTGAACAAAATTTGGCTTGAAAATCATTCATTATCCTTAAATATATTCTGCAACAATTAAAGATTTCCAAACAATTCCGGATTTAATTAATACTTTTTCATTTCGTTGTAGCTATAAAGATAAACTAGAACAACGAAATTTTAATTTCTAATTTTGCACAGTTAACTAAATTATAAAGATCTTAAACTATATTTTGCTGTACGATAGATTTTCGTTGTTAGTTTAATCTTTATTTTATTATTTACATAAAACTGCATATATGTTTCGATCGATTTATACTTCAGCTACATATTTACTTAGCCTTGCTGCATTGAGATTAAATATGCTGAAAATAAAACTATCGTGGGATAATAATTTCCTCTCATCATTTCTGCAACATTAACACTTTCATTTCAATCGATTCATTTTTCATTTCTTATCGAAAAACCATTACTTCATATTCATTCTTTGAATTTATACATACATGCATATCAACTTATTTTAAAATTAATAAGTATTTAATGAGCAATTTTATTCCATTGTTATATGAAGTATTCCCGAATTAATTATTATTGGATCCATTTCTGAATTCTTTCATATTCTTTGTAATTTAATTTGATAAGTATGAGTTAAAATTTTCCATCCTGTTTATTTAAAATTACTATATTTTTTAATGTCAACTATCATTTAAAATTAATTGAAATTTTATTCCATTGGTGCGTTAAGTATTGTTATCTTCGAATTAATTATTCGATTCATTTTCGAGGTCTCTCATATTCGCTGCAATTTAATTTGAAAAGTATAACTTAAAATTGCTCGTTCTATTTATATAAGATGAGGATATCTCATTTTGAATAAATCCTACAATATTGTTCATTCTTTTTATTCGATAATTATCCATGACAATTGACACTTCTCTTTTGGATGCCATTTTGTTTGTTGTCCTCACTATTCGTAACATTATTTATCAAATAACATCATTTTTCTTTCTCTCTTCTCTCTCTCTCTCTCTCTTTCTCTCTTTCTCTCTCTCTCTCTCTCCCTCCTTCTCCCTCTCCTTCTCCCTCTCCTCTTTCTTTTCGCATATTTGATGTATTTATCAAATTCTTCACTTTATCAAATTTCTTTTTTCAGTTTTTTAAGACAGGAAATTTTGCCTTACATTAAATATTTTGCAACATTTCCAGTAACTGAAAATAATACCATCAGGTGACAATTATGAAATTAATCTTAATTGGCTAAGGTTTTCAATAGTTTGCGCTTCACTGAAAAATTTGCTATGTAACTTTTCAGGTGA